TCAATTTCAGGAATATATGCTGAGGCTTGAAATTGCTGGCTGGTAGATAATTATGTATTTAACTTTATGAGAAACTAGAACTATACCGTTTCACAGTTGCCCAAATTGGGTGAGAAAGTTCCAGTTTCTGCAGATCCTCTCCAGATTTTGTCATTCCCTGGATACTTTTTGTTTGATTCCGTTTGGTTTGGGGATGTTTTTAGTAGCCGTGCTAGTCAGGTTTGTGGGATTGCATTGTGGTTTTCATTTGCATTTCTCATATAACCAATAATGTTGGTACTTTGCCATGTTTGTATGATTAATCTCCTCTGGATAAATATCAGTTCAGTTCCCTTCCCATTTTGAAATTGAATTATTTGTCTTTTTCTTCACTGTTGAGTTACAATGATAATTTATATAATCTTAGTACTAGACCCCTATCAGATATGATTTTCAAATATTTTTCCCATTTTTGGTTGTCTTTTGAGTTCCTTGATAATGCCCTTGAGTTTCTAATTGTAATGAAGTCCAATTTATCTGTATTTTCTTGTGCTTGTATTTGGATAAAATACTTTCACGTCCAAAGGAATGAAGATTTACTCATTTTTCTTGAAATTTCTGAGGTTTTAACTCCTTGGTGTCATCCTTTTTAAGTTAGTAGTACCTCAATTGAAAAATCATGATTGTATACATCTATGGTGTCTTCCACGTGAGTAGTTTCTGCTACCCAAGTACTTGGACCATGCTCTGGTTCCTCCCTGGTGTATCAGCAGGAAGCAAATCTGAAGTAGAGGTGGGACTCAATGCCAGGCACTCTAGTACTGCATGCAGTCATCCCAAGCGGGGGCTTAAGATGCAGTGCTGTTAATGCCCACCCCTTAATAAGTAAATTGCTCTTATAAGATCATGTCATCCACAAAGAGCGATAACTGTACATCTCTTCCTGTGTTTGGATGTGTTCTGTTTATTTTCCTTACCTCATTATTTTGATTAGAACCCTCAATCAATGTGTTGGACAGAGTGATGAAAGTGGGCATCCTTGTCCTGTTGCTGGGCAGAGATAACTTTCAGCATTTCACCCATGGGTGTGATGGGTGTGATGCCAACTGTGGGTTTTTGATGAACGCTTCTTAGCATCTAATGGACTTTTCTTTATAGTCTTACTTTTCCAGTTGTTCTGATCATGAAGGATTTTGTCAAATGCTGTTCTGCATTGATGAAGGTGACCGATAAAATGATGTGCTATATTGATTGCTCTTTTTAAATTTTTTATTTGTCTAGTTTATTATTCCATGACACAGTTCTATAGGCTCTGGGACTCCCCTTCCCTCCTCAAATACCTCCCTCCCACACACATACACTGATTTCTCTCATGTCATTTAAATAGTATAATTCCTTCACAATCAGCCATAAGCCCATCATTCTACATTTAAGCGTATCCTGACATTGTAGGTATGGACAATGGCAGAGAGTCCATCATCCTATTGTTAAGATACATTCGACAGGGCCCGGCGCGGTGGCGCAAGTGGTTAAGGTCCTCGCCTAGCACGCCCGGGATCCCATATGGGCGCCGGTTCTAATCCCGGCAGCCCCGCTTCCCTTCCAGCTCCCTGCCTGTGGCCTGGGAAAGCAGTCGAGGACAGCCCAAAGCTTTGGGAACCTGCACCCGCGTGGGAGACCCGGAAGAGGCTCCTGGCTTCGGATCGGCAAAGTATCGGCCCGTTGCGCTCACTTGGGGAGTGAATCATCGGACGGAAGATCTTCCTCTCTGTCTCTCCTCTCTGTATATCCGCCTTTCCAATCAAAAAATAATAAAAATAAATCTTTAAAAAAAAAGATACATTCGACAGTTTCATTGGGAGTCCATCATTGATTTGTAAGTAGAGATGCACACTGCATTGTATCTTCACATCTGTATGTGATAGTCTCTATTACACAGTTACTATATATCCCCTTAAATTCAAAACCACTAAAAAATCAACAGGAAGAAAAAAGAAAATTTACAACGATGTGGAGCTAAATAACGTGTTACTAAATGATCAATGTGTCGCTGAAGAAATGAAAATCAAAGACCTTCCTTTTTTTTTTTTAATACTGAATTACTCTTTCATTCCTGAGATAAATCTTATTTGGTTGTGATATATAATCCTTTTAATGTACTACTGAACTTTTATCCCTGCGATTTTGTTGAGAATTCTCTCCTTAAAAGACTGTTTTATAAAGAAAGAGAAACAGAGATATGAGTTTTGCTAATTCATTCTCCAAATGTTGGCAACAGCTAGGACTGAGAAAGGGACAAAGCTGGGGTCTGGAGCATGGACAGCTGGAAACCACCTTCAGCTATCACCTGCTGATTCACAGGCTGAGCATTAGGCACAAGCTGTAACAGAGAACAGAGCTGGACTTTGAACCAGGAATTCCAAAAATGAGACATTGGTGTCCCAACCCATGGCTTAACTGCTAGACCAGAAACCCATCTTGAAAATTCTTCACTTAAAATAAATAAATAAATGAAATTTTAAAATCTGTCTAAAGAAAAAAACTCCCATTAGTTTTGTTATCTTTCCCTGGGTTAATTTATATTCCTGTTTTTAAAGATTTATTTATTTTTATTGCAAAATCAGATATACAGAGAAGAGGAGGAGAGACAGAGGGGAAGATCATCTGTCCAATGATTCACTCCCCAAGCAGCCCCCAAGGCTGGAGCTGTGCCGATCTGAAGCCAGGAGCCCAGGGCCTCTTCTGGGTCTCCCACGTGGATGCAGGGTCCCAAGGTTTTAGGCCATCCTGGACTGTTTTCCCAGGCCACAAGCAGGGAGCTGCATGGGAAGTGGGGCTACCGGGATTAGAATTGGCGCCTCTATGAGATCCCAGCACATATAAGGTGAGAACTTTAGCCACTAGACTTCCGTGCCAGGCTCAATTCATATTCCTCTTTAATTTTCTTCTTATTTTTCAGAATTAGCCCAAGCTAACACTTGAAGTCCTTTCTTCATCTTTTTCCTATGTATTTGTGAGCAGGTAGATTCCAAATTGAATACTGATGATGTAATACCATAAGCAGTAAATGTTAGTATGCTTATTTCCACCTCTTTCTGTCCTCAACTCTTGCAACATTATGGTTCATGAGAAATTTTAATAATGTCTATTCACAATGATCCTTTCTCCCCGAAAACAGAACAATACATTGAGAAAAGAATATCTTCTAACATGTCCACATTGGAGTTCCTGAAGAGGCCAGGCCCTTCCAATAGGACATGACGTTATAGTCTCTTCCACACCTTTTCATGGCCTAAGGCTTGTCATATCCATTGATCCTTTAAAAGACTATAGGAGAAGGTTCCTGTAGTTAAGGAAGCTGGGTAGCCATGGTATGCTCTTGTACCTGGATTTGGGGAATGCAGATTCCTTATGGAAACCAGATAGAAGCAATCCAGTACACTCAGCTACCTCCAAAAGAGCTTTTCAGACACATGGACATCCTGGGTGAAATTCACACTGTCAAAATATGATTAAACTCAAAAGGAAATCCAGGTGCTAGCAACAGGGTCACATCAAAGCTACCAAGGTGAGAGGGGACTGCACGGGGCTCCCAGAGCTTAGAATGGGCTCAAAAAAAGGAGACCAGGGTTTAATGAAGCAAGAGAATAAAAGACTTTAGTCCCATGTGACCTAGAGTGGGAACTGGGCATGGAATAGCACATGTTTACAGAACTGCCATGTTAGTGAAACAAAGTAGTTTACTCATTAGACTGACAAAGAAATAATGAGTCCTACTATGTGTCCAGGAAAATGGGTAGAAGGAAGAATTGCCTACTGGAAACTGGAAGCCCATGCCATGGTTGAGGTCCAAGTTGAGATGACTATCAATGATGCTGAGATATTAATATAGAAGTTTCTGTAATCCGTATAGTCATGGTGCAGCGAAAGAGGAGTGATTCTGAAGAAAGAAGACACACCTCAGAAACACACCCTGATGAAGGAGAGCCATTCAATCCCACGGCTAGGGAAGTTAACTCAGCGAGACCTGGAGAGGCAAGGAGAGTCTACAGGAGTCTTACAGAAGTTACAAGAGAATAGTATGTAAGACCATGTGAATGTGGTGGAAAAAATAAAATATATGGGCATGAGAAGATAAGTAGTTTAAATCAGTGGATACTTTTCAAATGGTTTCAAATGGTTTTCCTTCAGCTTTTCAAAAGCTGAAGGAAGGAAGAAAACAGAAAAGGTGGAAGAGATGGGTGAAAGAATGAAGAAGATCCATCTAACAGAGGCTCCAAAATGAGCAAAAATAAAGAATGAGGGAAGGACAATATTTGGTCGTTTCCATAAGTGAAAATGAACAAATCTTGGAGTTACTGTAGCTCTGCAGGCTTGAGTGGCCAAGCAGGATACAAGAACAAATCTATGGCTACTCATACGTATGTTTTAACGAAACAGCAAAACACCAGAATCAAAGGGAATTGTAAAAACAATGGGAAAAGACTGTGTGTGTAAAAGCAAAAAACAAAAGTGCCCAAACTAGACAAGCTTCAGTGCTGACCATGTAAAGAAGTGGGGGAAGATACATACAGATTCTTCATGCCCCAAGTAGCTGCAGTGGCCAGAGCTGGGCCAGGCTGAAGCCAGGAGCCAGGAACTCCCTGCAGGCCTCCCAGGTGAGTGGCAGGACCCAAACACTCAGCTGCCCTCCCAGGTGCATCAGCAGGGAGCTGGAGCAGAAATGGAATAACCACAACTCCAGCTGTTGTTTTGATAAGGAATGCCCGTGTTGCAGGTAGCAGCCTAGCCCACTGCACCATAAGGCTCACCAACGAACACCCTTTGGAAGAGGACACCATGGAATCAACCTACTGTAAATACTGGATTGACTTGAACGACGGGACTCTTGCCTAGCTATGGGGCACCCGTCTCTCACCCTGCACCTTCATCTGTAATTTAACAACCTGAGGTTATTCATCCAATCTCTTGGAGTGGTGTTGGGTAAAGCTGGAAACTGACTGGGTTTGTTTTCCCTGCAGGATGAATGAGCGTGACCGCCTGATCAAGAGGCTCAGCAGGAAGACACCCCCGACCCTCTTCCGAGGCAGCTCTGTCTCCCAGAGTGTCCCCCGTAAGTAATGGGTGTAGAGCAGGAGAGGGCAGGAAGTCCCCTGGACGCTTGAGTGGGTCTTGTTAAGGACACGGCCAGCCGCCATGAGAGGTGCACTTTTGAAAGTAGGGCTCTATGGGTTCTTTCCAATCAAGTGGCATAAGCGACAGAATCCTGAAGGTAACAATCTGCGAGATCCTTCTCGTGACCTCCCAAGCGATTTCTCTAAAGGCTATTTCTGAATGGATAGTACCTTTGAATTACTGCACTCAAACTCAGAAATCTGAACTGCTTTGTTTGTTTAAGCTCAGCAAATTGAAATATCGACAATCCCAGAGAGAACGGCCTCACATTTGCTCACATGGCTGTTGCTACCCTCCCTGGCATCTGCCATCCAGAGGAGTGGACCGTCAGCAGCCGTGAACGTCTGCCCACTTGGCATCTCACCAGCCTCTGTTTGCCAACCCAGGGTGGGCAGCAGTGGGAGAAGTTGTTCCCAGGCAGCCTTGTCAGGCAACGACCCTCACATCTCTAGGTCCCTCCCTCTGCAACCCCCCTGTGTCTTTCCTGTACCCCATCACGGCCTGTTTTCCTCTCCCTCTCAAAGGAAGTTAGAAGGAACTGGCATAGCAAGAACACTCCCTGAGCCATCCATGTGCTCAGAGTGCAGCAGGTACGAGAGGAAGCAGGTTCAGCCCATCTCCCTGCAGGTATTCACAGATGTACTTAGCTTTCGTAATGCCCTCCATCTGCACATCATCCCAAGTGGCATGTCCCATGTGTGAGAGAGGGGACTCAAGCCTGCTCCATGGCGGTGCCCTATCTGCTACCTGTCCAGAAAGCAGCCCAGTGACGCAGCTAATGCAGCACGAAGCAGACCCAGGAGAGAGAAACTGATGTTGGCAGCGCTTTCGGTTCCCTGGGAGCCTTGTCCCTGTGTGTCCTGTCCACCTCCTTTGCCATGGCTGCAGGAAACTTTGTCCAGACAGGAAATTGCTACATTTCTTAAGAAGCTATTAGAGCTCAGAATCCAGGGTGTGCTACTTCAGGCAACATTTATTCTCAAATAATAAGGGTGAGAGAAGGAAGATACGCTCTTATAGCCTCCACTGAACGTCCTACTCAGAGGAGATAAGACAACTAAGAAATCCACCTGCCTCCTTCCCCCCGCCGCCCCTGTCTTCTTCTGCCTTCCTGATCTGTCCCAAACCTTATAGATGCATCAGGAAACCACTGGGCCAGGTCCAGGCTGCCCCCATGGTGATGTGCTGGCTGTCAGTACTTCCTGAAAGATGAATGAACATGGGAAATGTGATGAGCTGGAGACCTCCCCTGAACTCCCTGCCTCAATGCAGAAAGCAATTAAAGGCTCATCAGACAGGGCCTGGGGAGCTGATGGTGCATCACATCAGCCTGGGGGCAAGGCTGGGCAGGAGGAGGACAGGGGACTGGTTGGTTCGGGTGCCTGTTGCTCTGCTGAATGAGATATTTGACCTGAACCAGGGAGGAGTAACCTCACTACCCCTGAGGCTAAACCCATGAGGCCAACTACCTCTTGTTTTAAAAATATTTATTTATTTAGAGAGAAAGAGAAAAAGATTTTCTAACTGCTGGGTTACTCCCCAAATGCCTACAACAAACAGAACTGGAATGGGACCAAACCTGGGAGCCAAGAACTCAACCCAGGTCTCCCACATGGGTTGCAAGAACCCAGTCACTCGAGCCATCCCTGCCTCCAGGGGTGTGCGTTAGCAGGAAGCTGGAGCCAGGGGCTGGTGCTGTAGCTTCTCAGATTATACTGCTGCCTGTAGTGCCAGTGTGCCATATGGGCACCAATTCAAGTCCCAGCTGCTCCACTTCCAATCCAGCACTCTGCCGATGGCCTTGGAAAGCAGCAGAAAATGGCCCCAGTCCTTGGGGGGACCCTGCACCATGTGGGAGATCTGGAAGATGCTCCTGGCTTCAGCCAATCTCAGCCCTGGACGTTCCAGCCATTTAGGAAGTGAGCCATCAGATGAAACATATCTCTCTCTCTCTCTCCATCTCTATCTCTGCCCTGCCTCACCACCCCCACCTCTCTCTCTCTCGCTCTCTCTCTCTCTCTCTCCCCTTGTCCTCTATGGCTCTGCCTTTCAGATAAATACATAATTTTTAAACAAGCAGAGAAAATATTACAAAATGATGAGGAGGCTGGATACAGGCAGTCAGCCCGGATACTGCAGTGCGGGTCATACCTGTCCTCCAACATCTCAACTGCTTAGCTAACCACGCACCACTTACAACGTTTAAAACATTTACTTGTTTAGGTAAAAGGAAAGAGAATAGTGTTTCATGTTTCAAGACATTTTCTTCCACCCTGCACCCCCACCTGTCCTACCCCCATTTATAAAAGGCCATAAAAGACAGGACGCACATTCCACCCTCTCCATTTCACACCAAGGGGCCAACATCCACAGATTGAGCCAACTCAAAGAAAAAAAGAGTATCCCAGTGACTATATCGAGTCTTTTTCTTGTCATTATCCCCCAATCGGCACACCGTAGCAACCATTCACATTGCACCACATGTTAGACGTTGTCATCTGGAGATGCTGCACATTTCAGGGAGATGTGTACAAGTTATGTGCAAAGATTTCTGTGCCTGTTATACAGGACACTCACTCACCTGCCAGTTTGGGTATCCCTGGGAGTCATGGACCCATCTCCCATGGGCACAGAAAGATCACTACATCATTCTGTTTGGACAGGTGGCCAAGACAGGCACCTTCTCCCCGAGCAGGGCTACGGAGGCCCTCCCCTTGGGTTTACAGTGGAAATTAGCAGTGAAGGGGAGGGGATTCTGCAGCCTGGGCGAGGTTGACCAAAGAGGTACAGGGGAGCTGCAGACAAGCCTGGAGCTGTGAGCGAAATCTGGGCTTCTCCTGGGCCAGAAACTAGACACTGGAGAGCTTAAAGAATGCAGGCACATGGCCAGTGCCTCCACCTCCCAACCTGAAAGCTCAGAAGTCCAGAAGTCATGTTCAGGTGGGGAGCTCAGGACGTCTGTGCTAGCCAAGGGCAGGGTTTATAAAGAGCAGGCAAGGGGACTCCGGGTTACAGGTTGTGATTAGAACAGCCTCTGTTAGACGGAGGCGCAGCTCCAGCACAGAGGCAGGGCTGAGCCTCCCATTGCTTATCCCACCCAGACACAGCTGCCACGTTGCCCTCTCAGAACCCATCCGAGGTTTATTAGAAACATTCCTTTTTCAAAAATCAGCGAATGAAAGCGGCCCAAGCTGACCACAGTGCCCAGCCTTTTTTGCAGGGGAGACAGTGTTGTTGGCTGAATTCTGCTTTGAACCATCCCTGGGAACACCTCTCCTCTTGGACTGCAGTAAAAGGGCCTCACAAAGAGCGCCTTGTGTGGGGCCGGACAGGAGGTGTGCTGGGCAGGGGCGGGAGGCTGGGAGCAGCCAAAGCCAAGGGGCAGGACAGGAGGTGTGCTGGGCAGAGGCGGGAGGCCCGGAGCAGCCAAAGCCAGGTCCTGGAGTTTCCTTGTCCCACCCATGCTCTCTGAACAAGCAACATGACAGAAATCTCAAGGTTCCTAGGGAGCAGGGGTGGCTAGAAGGGTTTGCTCATCAGAGCTCTCACAAGTGGGTCCTGAGAAGACCATCAACAGGAGCATCAAAGCAGAGCCACCTGCATGCAGAGCTGACCTCGGGAAGTTGGAGTGCACTGGCTGTGAGCCCGGAGCTGGAAAGCTGCAGCAGCTGAGCAAGCACTTCCAACCCTACAGGTGCCTTCCCCTCCTGGGGGACCTGCTGCTGCTCTGCGTGCCCCACCACCTGGGAACCCTGGTCTGGAAGCTACCTCTGTGTAGCTCCCCATGATGTGCTCTTTCTGGCTTGTTAGGAGCGAAACACCCGTGGAGGACTGCTCTCCATGCCTCCCACCCTCTCTCCCCCATCCCATGGTTTATTCTGCCTTCACTCCCCTCTTCTCTCTCTCCCTCCCTTATCCTCCTTGGTCTGGACCCTTCTCCCTGCTGCTGGCCTCCCCGTCCTCAGTCGACGCTGGATCACCTCTGCAGACAAGCCGTGCCTGCTGGGGTGGCCACTCCAGCATTCAGGTTTTCTCAGGCGGCAGTGACTGCAGGAGTGCAGGGTGTCCAACCAGGAAGTTTGCGGGCGCTCAGAGTCTGCCCCTTTCCTCTGCACCCCCACACCGCTACCATGCAGTGGTGTCAAGGCTATCTCCCTGCTTGGCTGAAGCCAGCTCTCCAAGGAGATCGCCAGCCACCCGGGTGCTGATCCATGGGCACAATTTCTGGTTTCGATTTCTCCTTTGAAAGTGTGCATCACTGATAAATGGTAAACCTGCAGGGATCGGAGGCGCTAGTGCAAAGCTCTTGCTGGGCTGCTCTGAAGAAGAATGGCACTTCCTGTTCCCTGGCCAGGAAAGGGTTAGCCCCAGGGAGTCTTAGCATCCTTTCTGCCCCATTCCATCCCCAGTTCGGCTGCTCTCTCTTCATCTGTGGTCTTAGGCTAGCCATTATTTTTACAAGTGCCTTAGTGTCCCCACCTGTGAAACGGGAAGGAAGCTCTGCTGCATCTCCTGCGGTTACTGGGAGGACCAAGGGCTGTTTGTCAATAGGATATAGAACAGTGCCTCCTGCACATAGCATCTAACAAGGGTTACTTTATCGCGATCATTGGAGTTGATTATAAGAAGCGTTTTTCCCGAAGCCACAAAATCAGATGTTAGATTGCTCTTGATTTTGTTATGTGATCTTGCTCTTTATTTAAATGAAAAGAAACTCACTCCCGTTCCTTTGGACCAGTTTTAATCAAGCCACTTGAAAAGCAGGAACACTGCAAGCCTCCGGTGCGCGGCCAGCTCCTAGTGCTGTGTGTTGGTGTGTGTATCTTGCTTGACGAGTTTACAGCTTCGTAAATCAGCCGGGCAGCACCAGGCAGCATGCGGTACTACTCTAGAGTGGCACTGGGACGCAAAGCCTCTGACCAGTGCCCACTGCCATCCACACCGGCCCTCAGAAATGTGAGGGGACCTCCAGAAGTTTGTGCAACATAGAATTGAAAGATGCATTTGTTTCAGTATAAAAAATAATTTTTGAGATAGCTGGGTGGGTGTTCAGCATAGCAGTTAAGCTCCAGCCTGGGATGCCCACTTCCCAAGATGCCCAGATGCCAGGCTGGAGTGCCAGGGGTAGATTCACAGCTGTGCTCTTCAGCCCCAGGTCCTGTTAAAGTTCACCCTGGAAGGTCATTCAAGCAGGAGGTCATTCAAGTCGCTGGCCCTTTGCCGCCCACATGGAGGTCTAGACTCTGTTCCTGGTTCCTGTGCTTTGGCCTGTCTCAGCCTGGCTATTGTTGGTATCTAGGGAGTGATTGAATCAGCAGGTGGTGAGCTGTGTCTCTTTGCCTTTCAAACAGAATGAAATGACTAACTTTAAAATACATAATATGAATTCTGTGTATAAACTTCTGTATATAGACTTCTGTGTATAGATTTCAGCATTAAAAAAAAAAAAAGATTTATTTTTTATTGGAAAGTCAGATATACGGAGAGGAGGTGAGACAGGAAGACCTTCCATCTGATGATTCATTCCCCAAGTGGCCGCAGCAGCTGGAGCTGTGCCGATCTGAAGCCAGGAGCCCAGAGCCTCCTTTAGGTCTCCCACACGGGTGCAGGGTAACAAGGCTTGGGGCCGTCCTCGACTGCTTTCCCAGCCTACAAACAGGGAGCTGGATGGGAAGTGGTATCACCAGGATAAGAAAACCCTTGGCCTTATGGGATCCCGGTGTGTGCAAAACAAGGACTTTTCTGCTAGGCTACTGCGCCAGACCCAGACTTCAGCCTTTTTTACACCAAAATAAACCTACATTGAAAAAATAAAGGCTTATTTATTTGAAAGAAAATTACAGAAAGGGAGAGGTTTTTTTTTTTTTTTTCATCTGCTGGTTCACTTGCTTAATAGCTGCACGGGCCTGGGTGGGGATCCTGGAATGCCACCTGGGTCTCCTATGTGGATGGCTGGAGATGCAAACCTTAGGGCCATTCTGTTGCTTTCCCAAGCACTTCAAGAGGGAACTGGAGCTGAAGTGCAGCAGCTGGGACTCCTACTGGCATCCATATGGAATGCCACTACTGCAGGCAGCAGCTTAATTGCCACAAAACCAACCCCTAAGGTCATCTTTTAATCCAAAGCTCTACAGGCATCTTGAAGTGCCCTTGGAGGAAACTCGTCCCGCAGAGCCTTCTCCACGGCTGCTTCTGCCGTCAGAGCCTTCTGAGCTCGGTGAGGCCACCTGAGGCCACTCCTTTCCCTTCCAGGAACGCAGGCCTTGGGCTGTGGAGGCCAACAGCATCCACAGCTCAGCAGCCTTCCCCCCAGGGGAAACTTCTCCTTAGCCCAGCTCGCTCCTCCAACCCCTCTAATCTTACCGTCTTGTGATGCTCTCGCAGATGGCTATGCCTTTTCGCAAGAAGAGCACGGAGCTGTGACTCAAGAAGAAATAGTCCGCTCTTACGACACCACCAAGAAGAAAGCCAAGAAGAAGTAAGAGGCTCCCGGCGGAGGAGCCTAGGAGAGAGATTGCGGTTTGTTACACCCAGTATTCACAGGTCTCGGTGGGATGAGACGGGCGGCAACCGCCCAAGCGCCAGAAAAACACATTTCTGTGGCCTTAGCCAACCAGTTGGTTAGTTATATATTCCCCCGCAAACCCGGAGTAGACCCCGCTGGGGAAGCCGTTTGTCGCCCTCCCCGTTTGTCTGCAGTGCTTGGCCTGATTTCTGTTTACACGGTTATGAAGCGTTCAGCTGAGCTCTGTGAGGTGTGAAATTAAAAACATTGTTTCACCAATAGGTCAACCCCACAACAAGTTGTTGCAAGAGAGGAGGAAGGGGGGTTTAAGCTGCGTGAAAGACCTGTCTCCTTGGACTGTGGCGGTCCCCGTTTAGTGTCCCTGTTGGGGGCAACTGGTGAGTTGTGTCCACCCAGCTGCAAGTGAACTGCGCCCTGGGCAGACAACGCACTGGCTTTGCCTCCTGTTTTGTTTGTGTGAAGTTGACATGAACTTCTGGATCAAGTGAAATCACAAAAGGCAACCACCCCTTACACACAACGGTTATAAACCTAAGAACATGAATTTGAACCTCAGCTACAGTGTTGATCGGGCAGTTCCAGGTGACCATCCCGCGTGCCCACTCCAGGTGCCCCACCAGCGCTTGTCCACTGCTGACCAGGCCGTTGGCGGGGCGGCCACTGTGCGCAGTGCATGGCAGCTGCTGCCACCCAGCCCGATTTGCACTTCTTCTTGTCTCACTGTGGGCTCACAGATAACGGAAATCCTTTCTACTCTCATACTTTACACTAAGTCTGTTGCGCACTGTATTCTAAATGTTTACCTGCCCGGCTCTGACAGCGGGCACCCCTCCAGTCAGGTGATGGGGGAGCCCCTGGGACAATCCCTCTGCCCTGATCGGCTCCACGGACTCATTTCCCACCCTGCAGAACCCAGGCCTTTGGCAGCCGCTTGCGTTATTAGAGCCCCCATTTGTCTTCTTGAGAGTTGAGAGCACAGCTTGGATTTTCGCTGTTAGGAGGAGTGACTTTGGAACGCACCCTGGAACGCACCTGTTCCACTGTATAGCTTTGGCGTCGAGGATGGGTTGGCATGAAGGAAGGATCTGCGACACGGAGCGTGGTGAGGAAGGTGACCACAGGTGTTCCCAGTCAGAAAAGGGAAGACCCAGGAGACCCACGGAGGGGGCCCTTGTGGCAGCTTCTGCCTGCTGTCCGCTAAAATCCAGCCCCCAGTCCCGGGCGATTGTTGAGATCGGCCTCACGTGTGTAGGAGCTCAGACAAGCACTTGCAGAGGTTATCGAGAAGAATTCCAGCCATTTCAAAGGAACGTCCTTTCTGAGTGTTGACCTGGGGACCTCCCTGGGTGTGTTCATCCTGCATTCAGTGAGGAAAAGGCGTGCCTAGTCCCAACTTCCCCAAACGCACAGCTCCCTGCCCCTTCTAAATTTGCGCGGAACCTGGGTGCCTTTGGGCATGAACGTGAACACCTGGAGCCCCTATTAAGTGGCTGGCCTGCAGGCATGTTCTCTCCTCTTTGGTTGCCAAAGCAGATTTTTGGATGGGTTAATGTAAATACTTTTGGACAGCTGATTCTGGTTTAAGTGGCACAGTTCCTCTGGGGGTGGTTGTGCTAAATTAGGAAATAAAACCATCATGCACTTCACTTCCCAACCCTTTCTTTTCAGAATTTCCACAATGCACTCGCATTGGAAATCATCTGGAATGAGATTTGCATTGACCTTATGCTGTAGCCAGGGTACAGGAAGGGTTGCTGGGGAAGTGGAGCAAGGCAGTTTGTTATTGGTGAGGCTCGGAATATTGCCCTCCCATCCCGCAAGGGGAGTGAGACGTGTTAAAACCCCAGGGCACCCTGTAATCAGGATCAATGAGGGACTGCCATGCAGAAACGTTACGACAAGGGGCATACCCGTGACTGACACAGCGCACCCAGGAAGATGATGACCAAACCCAGAGCAGAAACCAAAATGAGAGTCGAATATACGCAAAGCTTTTTGCCTTTGTATGGGGACTTCAGAAAGTCCATGGGAAAATGAAATTAAATGATAGATTTGTTTTGGTGCAAATAACTTTTGAATCCATGCACAGTTTTTTTTCCCCCTCAAATATGTATTTCCCATCAACGTTTAAGATCCTCTTCATCTCTGGTTGTATTTGGAACTGAAGTGCATTTGGAAAGAGTGGATGAAAACGGAGTTCCCTGTCCCACACACTTAGCTCTTTTCTTGAACAGCACACTTCCACGTCACAATTGTCAATTAAAGTGTGTTGTGTTTGTGTCTGATTGTTTTGCTTGTTTGCTTGCTTTTTATGTATTTTATTTTCCATGTTGAACTGCGGTTTGCATTTTCTGGGATTTACGTGCGTTTTACTATTCTTTGGAGAAGTTTACTAGACAGTCATGGCCATAGCGAAACGTGCTCACAGAAGAAACCCTCCAAGGGCTGCGTTTCCACTGCTCCTCTCCGTGATGAGCCTTCTTACTGTCGGGGACCCGAGAGGCTTTGGAGGAGGAGCAGCTGTCACCATGTGTGATGTATAATATTCAGCTAGGGCAACATGGGGCTGTGTCATTTGTCCTATCTTTAAGTTGAGGTCAGAATGTCATACAAATCCCCTCCCCAGGGAAGCGGTTGGACAGGACCAGTTTGCCAGCCCTGGCTGTCAGCTCAGCGGAAATGCCACCTGGGACTTGTCAGTCAGCCGCACAGTAAGTGACTCACAGGCAGGCAGGTCACACTCGGTCAGTACTCCAGGGCCTGCCTATAGATAGGGCTAAGCTGGCAGAACCACTTAGGTCAAACAGCCCTGGGCCCAAAGCTGCCTAGAGCCGACCGGCTCTCATTGGAGGCCGCCTTCCCTTCCCACTGAAAGAGGGAGGCTTGCTGCCATCCGCATTCAGTTCTGGGTGCCACTGCTCGCTGGCACCTGCCCGAAGGTTGCTACAAGAAGTCACGTTGCAAAGAGAAGAGGAGAGCAGACTGAGCCAGTGTCTTCTGCTAGGCAGTCTGTATTAGGACAACCTGGCTGCTCATAGGCCTATCTCTATGCAAAATATCTCAGGCTGCCTGCCTGGCGTTACGCTCCTAGCTCCCAACAATATGCGCACACACACACACGCCACACACACACAAAGCAAGTGATCATGTTGAAAATCATTCTATCATATAAAACTTGTGCTTTGGAGGAAAAAATAAAGGGGGGGGATAGTTGTTTCTTTAACATTCATAGGGGACACGTTGTGTAAAGGGAGTCCAGTTGGAGCAGACACAGCTCCGCTAAGCACTCAGTTGATATTTTCTTTTCCCTGACAAGGCTTCAGGTCTTGCTATATAGGGAGCTGGCAGTGAAAATTAGTAATAACTTGTCAAGGAGCCGTGAATAATGGAAAGAAAGGCAATCTGGGGAGGTCACGTTTGAAAATGCAGAGGGATGTGCTGTGGAGGCCTGAAGGTTGAGATTTTTTGTTCAAAGAAAGCTGGAGTCTACAGTCTGCAATTGTTATGGCAGTGACCCTTTATCTTGTTAATCTGAACCCCAAGGAGAAGCGCTTGCTCTCAGCTACCCTCGTTCCCAGGGATTGATGTCCCGGACCCGCGGTTGAATGGAGTGTCTGCAAAGCACACTGCAGAAGGAGCAGTCTATGGTTTGCAACATGGGAAAAGACTACACATGTTTCAGCCAGGGTTTGAATTACTACCCAGGGTCATTGTCCCAAAGCAATTCAAGGAGTGATTTAGCTCCAGGATTTGCTATGTAACTTCCATCTCCTGAGACCCATAAAAAATGTGAGCAGGGAAATTGTAGCTAAACAGAGCCTCAAACACTAACTTGGTAAAGCAATGAGTTTATCAAGTCAAGTCAGAATATGACAACCCACCCATCGTATTCCATTAAATACATCTTTCATGCAAACACCGAAACTATCAAAAAGAAGAAATGTTGGAGATCATTAAAGAAGGCTGCCTATACCAAAAAAAAAAAAGCAGTAATAAAAATAAAACACAATAATACAGACACATTGGCTTTGTGTTAGCTCAACCTGTTGGGGTTAGTACTGTCTTAAGGGAACTTGGTGAACCTCCCACTGAGCTTTTTGTCCATCCTGGAGGTCTAGGAGGCTGGAAGGGTTTCTGAGGGGTCACGGAAGTGGGGGCCCAAGACTCCTATCATGATATTGTTAAGTGTTTTTGGAAGAAATAGACCAGAAGTACCCCACTTGATGTACTCTTTCTGTATCACTTTTCTTTCCCCTGCATCCCAAGTTGTCCAACATCATTCATTCCCAGCTTCCCTCCCATGAGTTGCTTTGTTTGATGCCATGCTTCCAGCCTATGCTGGCTCGGACTCTGTCTCCATGTGCTGAATGTGATTTGTGACTGGGGACTGGGAGTCAGGCTTGAGTGGAAGGCAAAGACGCTGAGTCAACATCAGCCCAAGCGGTCAGGATAACTGGGGGTCTTGGAGGGCCAAGCCCATTCCCAGCCCGCAAGTCATCAGAGCCCTTGACCTCAGCACAGAATACCTCTGTTTTCCCTACAGAGCATGGGGGACAAAAGGCTGATTCTTCTTGCCCCCAGCCTGGTTCATTTGCAAATAAGTCTTGGGCCCTGGTTGAATATCTTGGGCCCTTTGCAAATATCTATTCTTGCTTCTCGCAGGCCCCAGACCAAGGGGGTGGAGGGAAATGTCAGGTGGCTTTGATCTATGATAGAAATAGGAAGAAGAAAGTTGAAGGAGCAGGACTATTCAAATAACCCTGCCCAGGAAGCGGTGGTCAAGAGAGCTTTTCGAGAGCCTTTTGTAGGTAAGCTCTTCCGTGCAGGAGACAAGAGGCTGGAAGGAGGAGACATCACAGATCAGCTGGGAACCCACTGGCCATAGCTTAGGCCAGGCCAGGGATGGAATCTGGTTGTGTTGCCAGAGATGGTGCAGCCTGCCAGTACAGGTGAGCCTCCAAGCACCAACAGCAACCACATCACAGAAAAACCTTCCTGGCCTTCCAACAGGAAACTCCCTAAATACAATCATTCAGGGTCAACTAAAAACTCCCTGTACCAAGAAAGACTTTGGGGCTCTTGGACTAATCAAAATCATATAAGGATGAAAACAAAAACACCTCTCGCTCGCCTCTTTGGCACCCTTTTCCTCCTCACCGCTGGTGGTGATGGTGGTAGTGGTGGCGGCAGAGTTCAGAGGGCACCAGGCTACTCTGTTCCAAACCCTTCCTGTCCAGGGCAGTGCCAGCTGCATGGG